ATGTCTGCCTCTTATGGGGCCATCTTAGGTAAAGGGAGCTAGGTGCAAATCTTGGATACAAAAGAGGAATAAAAAGTAGTTGCATTACTTTACAGAGTTTAAAAAATAAGTTAGAAATAAGACATTGTTAAAGGATTGACTTCACAGCCTGGTAAAAATGTCAAATAAATATTACATTCTAGCAGGTCAGAGTAGGGCCTCTACACGTGGTCTCACCATCCACGCTAGACTCCCGTCCAACAGCCATCTCGCTCTGCTCCAAGCCTTCAGTCCACTGCGTACAGGCACTCAGCTACTCCAAGGTAAGTTCCAGGGCTGTCTCCCCTGCACCGGCCTCCGCCCACGACTTGTTCCCCATGTGCTGCTCCAGGACTCCCTGCCTGCACTGCTCTGGGTGTTTGCAGCCCACCCGCTGCTCCAGGATTTGCCTCCGGGGCTAAGGGGCGACAAAAAGAAAACAAAGAGAAAGAAAGAAAAAGAACAGGTGGAACGGAGGAGCTCTGGACTCTATGACTCTAAGTGAGACTGAGAGGATGATGTAGCTTTCTAAACAAATGTACATCTCTGCAAATATTTTCTTGCTTAGGACTGGAAGAGATAATGCAGAATGGGCTGAACACCTCCCAGACTAGGTTGGTTGGGAGCTCACCATTAAAAACTGGGTGCTGTACAGCTATTTTACACTCAGGGCATTAATTTTCTAATGACAAAAATCTGAACCATCTGGGAGGAGGTCCACCTTCGAGCCCTGGCAGGTTTGAATAATGGCCACTTCTGGGACTGCAGCCTGAACTTGAAAAGAGGACACAATGGAAGCATGAACAGGAGTAGGCCATTTGGCCTTTTGAGCCTGCTCTGCCAGTCAGTATGATCATTTAGGATTTTCTAACTTAGTACCCAGTTCCTGCTTTTGCCCCATACTCTATAATCCCTTTAATCCTAAGAACAATATCTCTCTCCTCCTTGAAAACGTTCAATGTTTTAGCTCAACTGCTTTCTGTGACAGAGAATTCCAAAGCTCCCATTCTCTGGATGAAGATTGTTTTTCCTTATTTCAGTCCTAAATGCAGTATCCTGTATCCTTAAATCTGGACTCCCTGCTCATCAGGAACATCCATTTTGGATTTACCCTGTCTGGTCATGTTAGAATTGTATAGGTTTCTATGAGATTCCCCGTCATTTTCCCCAACTCCCGTGAATAGAATCCAGTCTCTGTTCATACGTATTATCTCTCATTGCAGGAATCAGTCTGGTAAACCTTTGTTGCACTCTCTCCGTAGCCTTAACGTCTTTTTTCTGGTAAGGGTACCAAAACTATACACAGTACTCCAGGTGTGGTCTCACAAAGGACCTATACAATTACAGCAAGACATAGCTGCACCTGTACTCGCATCTTCTTGTTATGAAGGTCAGCTTGTTATTTGCCTTCTGCACCACCTTCTGCAGTTGCGTGCTTACTTTCAGCACCTGGTGTTCAAGGATGCCCATGCCTCATTGTAGCTCTCTTTCCCAATCTGTCACCATTCAAATTTGTTTTTTTGCCAGCAAAGTGGATAACCTCACATTTATCCACATTATATTTCATCTTTCGTGTATTTACCCAACTCACTCAACTTGTACAAATCATACTAAAGCATTTCTGTGTCTTCCTCACAATTCACCCTCCCATCGAGATTTGTGACATCTACTAACTTGGAGATTACATATAGTTCCCTCGTCTAATTCACTTGTATATTGTGACTGTCTGGGGTCCACGCACTGTTCCTTGTGGTACTCCACTAATCACTGGCTGTCACGCAAAAAATGGCCTGTTTATTCCTGCTCTTTGTTTCCAGTCTGCCAGCCAGTTCTCTGCTGGATTATGTGCATTTCTGGCCCATTTAAGTTTTGCCATAAATTCTCCAAGAAGTGAGGGTTAGAGGATTATGTATCTTTGTTAACAAATGTACAACTACGCAAATATTGTTTGGAACGAGAAGATACAATGGAAGCCGACAGAGCATTGAGGCTTCACTGACTCTTTTGAAAATGAATCCAATTAGTCCCACTAGCTTGCTGATTCCCCTAATCCCTTCAATTTTCCCTTCCAAGTATTTATCCATTTCCTTTTTGAAGATTACCATTGAATCTGCATCCACTACCCCATTAAACAGTAAATTCCCAAATCTAATTATTTGATGCATAAAGAAGCTTTTCTTCATGCCATTAGTGTTTTTTTGTAATAACCTTAAATATTTGTTCCCCAATGGTTGAAGTGTTAGTGATCATTTCCCCTTCATTTAGTCTACTTTCAATATTTTAAACATGTCTGTCAAAATTACTCCTAATCTTCTCTACTCCAAGGGAAATAGCCCCAACTTTTCCTGTCTATCCATGTGGCTACAATTCTTAATTCCCGAAAATGTTCCAGCACATATCTTCTGTACCTCACCAAAGCCTACTTTTAAATGTGCACTGTATTAGAAAAGAGACATGTTACATGTCAATTAAAAAAGCTTATACAATAGTACCTTATTAACAGTAGATTGCTGCCTTTCATTGTGAAATACATTCTACTTTGGAATTTTTACTTTGCTTCTTACATTTCAGATTGTAGCTTTAAAATTTCCCTTTGCGTTAATTTCAGAATTCTGAAATTATCCTGAAATAAACAGGATAGTTACAAAATGAACTTCCTGAAGAGGATTCTGTGCTTGGAAGAGAAAGGAAACAGCAAAAGGCCACAGAAAAAACACCTTAAACACATTCTCTCTTTAATTTAAAAGTGTTTCATATTCTACAATATAAAATATCACCCTTATGTCACTGGATTATCTCCAACAGCAAATGTGAAGCTGTATGGTTTTGGAGTCTATAACCACCAAAAGGTCTCCAGAACAAAAACCTGTTTGAGATTGACAATCATTAAATTCTCATTTAACAGAGATCATGCTTCTCTGAGGAACTTCCTCCAGCAGGGATTGGGTGAACGCCATAGGTATTCAGTTCTCTATTCCCTGGATGAGAAGAAGCAATATCCTCAACTCTTGACTTTTCTTTGTAATTGTTGTTCCATAGAAGCAGGAGTAGGATATTCAACTGTTAAGACTACCCTATCATTTGATATGATCATGGCTGATCAAACACTTCAGTGCCTTTTACTCACCCTATCACCAAAGCACTGTATACCAGTGGCAATCAGAAAACTGTCAATGCCTTAAATGTATTTACAAGACTGAGTTTCCATAGCTTTCATTCCAGTGTTCATGACCCCCTGAGTTAGAAAAAAGTTCCCCTCATCTTCAACCTAAGTTGCATCTGTCTTATTTTTAAATTATGCCTCTTGGTTTTATACTCCCCAATCGGGGGATAAATCTTACCTGCATCCACCCTTTCTATCTGTTTAAGTATTTTGTTAGTCTCAGTGAGATTACCCTACATTGTTCAAAACTTAGAGAATTCCAATATTTTAAAAATGAATTGAACTTTTGTTTTATTACAATGTTTATACTTTCTTTTATCAAAATTATACATATACCTGGAGAGGAATGCGAGACTCAGGATGCCTTAAGGATAATGTCTATTTCCAGTTGCCTTTTATTTTGATCTGAAGAGTTATTCATCTTTAGTTCAGATTTGCAACTATATGCACTAGAACAGAGAAGTTTAAGAGAATATGTAAAAGAGGTTTTAAAATCATGAAGTATGTTGGTAGAATAATTGGTGAAAGACTATTTGCTCTGTCAGGGAATCAGTGAATATGAAAAATCAGTTGAAGAATTGCAATGGGAGTGAAGCAAATTTAGTAGGAATGTTATGCATGTGTTTGTTTTAGTATGGGAAATTTTTGAACAGAAATGATTGAAACATAAAACTACTTTTTAAATTCATTTATTGGATGTGGGTGTCACTGGCCAGGCCTGCATTTATTATCCATCCCTAATTGTCCAGAGGCAGTTAAATGCCAACCTCATTGCTGTGTCTGGAGTCACACGTAGGCCAGACCAGGTAAGGATGGCAGTTTCCTTCCCTAAAGGACATCAATGAACTGCATTTCTTGACATAATATTGGATAAGTATGTGATATCAATGAATGTACAAAACTGTGGGAAGTTTTATTTAAGATTACTTCTTTCAGTGCTGAGAGATTTGATAGCTCCATTCTTTTGTGGTAGTAATTACGAACTTATTCTGTGCAGGATCTTTTAAATGAGAATTTTATGATTGTCAATCTCAAACAAGTTTGTGTTCAGTTAATTTTCTATTTAAATCTGATTGGGATGAGAAAAATGATTTCTCGTGTAGGTATAACACAGAAGCATAAAGTAATGCTTCAGTACCTGTGTTGTAACGCTATACATTATGCTGTTTTACGTGAGGAAATGGCAACAATGTTGACACATGCATTTAAACAGCTGGTTGCCAGGCATATTATTTTAGCTGATAAATGTTTCAAGATGTCAGAAGAATTGGAAGAATTGATTTGCAGTTTTATTCATGCAATTATGCATCAAATAACTGCATTGTTTCAAATTGGCAGAGCCTCTGATTAAAAAAAGCCATTGGTTCCGCAAACTATTTTGGGGTATAAATTGACTTTAGTCAAAAACTCTTTAAATTCAACTGCTTTGTAGCTTACACCACTAAGTTTGGTAAACCCGTTTATTCACTTTACACTGGAAATATTTTAGTTCTATTGATCAGCTTCAATTTTAACCATAATGTTGGAAGTGAATAGTAACGGGTATGTACATGGACAATACTTACCTTGCGTGGGGTTTGATTTGGTCAGAGTTGATTTGAGTTGTACTGCATTATAACTGTACGTACTTCACTGGCTGGCACTTTGGCTCGTGCTGATGTTCTGAAAACAATTATAGAAATACAAGCTAATATCTAGTGTACAAAACCAGTAAATAATATTCTTTTTCCCCATCTTTTCAGTGATATTATGAAATATCTTATTATGCAATGCAGTTGATTTTTAATTGTTTTCTGCCTCCATCTCTTTCTTTTCACAGATGAGCCAACAAGCCCAAGTGTTGACCTGGTAGCAGGTCACATCCCTGCTTCATCTGTTGTTTCAAGTGGTCAGAATTTTGCTCCAACAATCATCACTAGTCCTGCTTCTCCAACTTTCACCTTTCCCCCTGTTCACTCACGCCATTACTCTCAGGATTGCAGTGAGTTTTTATATATACTAATTTTGTTAATGCTTTGCAAAAGGCAGTGAATAAGCATGATATAACATTGCAGCAAACCATCTTTCTCAGTGAGGAAGGAATTACAATAGACAGAATGGGAGATTTTAAGTGTATGCTTACCTTCAACCATTTAAAAAAAAGTTTGTATAAAAGCTGTATTAAAATTTATTCCAAACATGGGAGGTACCTGTGAAAATTAAAAGATTTTTGGCACATGATGATCTGATCCAATTTTGCATGAGAAGATTAATTTTTCATTTAGGTTGCATGGCATTAATTTCTCAGGGTGAGATACATTTAGGTTGTTCATTGTATTTGATAGAGCTCTCTATGGACTTTTAAATCAGAAAGCATCAATGGCCCAGGGACAAGATTAAAAGGTTTGACCCATCATATTTGCAGATGGGTGAGAAATGGCCAAAATCCAAGGGTTTAACACCCTAGCATTTTCTCAATGGGAAAGTTACAGTGGAGCTCCAGAAAGTTAAATTCCTCAACAAATCCATGCTTTCTCTTCTGAATTAAACCACATTTGTTGACGTGACTATAAATTCTGTACCAAGTGATTGCTTCCAGATGTTGTCTTACTATTGAGTTAAGCTGACATGTTCATATTTGCTGGGATTAATCTTATTTTTTGAATAAGGACACAACATTTGTAATTTGCCAGGGCCTTTTCAACTCTCATTTCTTTCAATATCCTTGGATGCATCTCATCTGGTCCCAGTGCATTATCAATCTTTAAGTACCAACAGCCTCTTCAATGCCTTACTTGAGGGTGACGCATTGGTTAGCATTGTGCCTCACAACGCTAGAGACCTGGGTTTGATTCCGGCCTCGGATGACTGTGTGTGTGTGGAGTTTGCTCATTGTCCCCGTGTCTACATGGGTTTCCTCCCAAAGACGTACAGGTTAGATGGATTGGCCATTCTAAAAATTGCCCCGTAGTGTCCAGGGATGTGCAGGTTAGGTGGGTTAGCCATAGTAAAAAAAAAACTAAAACTCACTGAGTCAAGAAAATTCCAAAATTGATTTTGCCTAAAACAGACTGTTTGACGGTCGATATTACATATTTTTGAAGTTTTCTATGATGCCTGCAACCCAATATCCATCACCATGAATGAACAAATTTATAGCAAGTACCAAAGTGCATACAATATTAGTAGCTGCGCTTCAGCCACTGCATTCAAGTTGTAACAGACAAGCTAGCATTTCATGTTGTAAGCATTGTTCTGGGTTCATAATTTTATTTTCTTTAGTTGCCCCGTAAGATATTAGATACACTATAGCCAAATTTACAGATGACACTTAAATGGGTGCAAAAGTTGCAGTGAAGAAATAAGAAATTTATAAATGGGTAAGGATAGTTAGGTGAATGGACCAAAATTTGACCGATGAAGTTTTAAATAACTAAAGGGGAGGTCGTTTTGGTCTGAAGAATAAATAGGAAACTTATTATCCAAGTTGAGAGAAACTTCAAATTGCTTCAGTGCAGATGGATCTGGATGTCCTTGTGAATGAGTCACAGAAAGCTAGCGGTACAGGTAGAGCTGTTAAAGGGAGGGCAAATGGAATTTTGGCATTTATTGCTAAAGGAATAGAGAATAAAAATAGGGAAGTGTTGTTGCATAAAAACCGAAAGAACTGTGGCTTCTGTAAATCCGGAACAAAAATAGAAGTTGCTCGTAAAGCTTAGTAGGTCTGGCAGCATCTGTGAAGAAAAAATCAGAATTAATGTTTCAGTTACTGGAGGGTCGCCAGACCCAAAACATTAACTCTGATTTTTTCTTCGCAGATGCTGCCTGACCTGCTGAGCTTTTGCAACAACTTCTGTTTGTGAAGCGTTGTTGCAATCATACAAGGTATTGGTGAGACTGCATCTGAAATACGGCGAGGCTTTGGTACCCTTACTTGAGGATGAATATGATTGCATCTGAGGCAGTTCAGAGAAGGTTCACAAGATTAATTTCAGAGATGAAATGAATGACTAATGAGGAGAGATTGAGCAGTTTAGGCGCATAGTTGCTCAAGTTTAGAGGGATGAGAGGAGATCTAATTGTGGCCTACAAAATGCTAAAAGGGATTGACAAAGTAGACATTGAGTGGATATTCCCCTTGTGGGGTAATTGAGAATGAGATGTCATACTTTTGGGCTAGTGGCAGATATAAAACAGAGATAATTATGAAATACAGCAAACTTTGTTTTAACCAGCACCTTATGAACTGGCACTCGATAAACTGCCAAAAATTATATGCCTTCAAACACTGCTAACTTTACTGTATTATTATGGCTGACTATCAACAGTTGATTCAATTTTAAGTCAATTTCTCCTCCAGTACTACGACCTACTGCAATGTCCGAGTAGTGAGTTGAGGGTGTGAGTGAGAATTCTCTCTGCTGGTAAGTTTTATTTAAGGCAAAGTTGTGTTATTATTTAAGTGTTTTATGCTTTAAATAAGTATAACTGTGATATGTATACCCTTTGCATTACATTTCTTTTACTAAGTGTGTGTTTTACATTGATTATGTCAACCTCTTAACTGTCCGGAACATTTGGTCAACTGGCATATTCCTGGTCCCATAGGTGCCGGTTGATAAAAAGTTTGCTGTACTTCTCTCAAGGAGTTGTGAATCTGTGGAATTTACTACCCCAGAGTGAGGTGGAAGCCAAGGCACTGAATTAATGTATGGGTGAGAGTGACTGATTTTTAGTTAATAGTGGGTTAAATGGTTATGTAGCATGGGCAAGAAAATGGAGTTGAGGCCAAGCTGAGATCAGCAATGATTAAATGGCAGTGCAGGCTCAAGGGGCTGAAATGGCAGAGCAGGCTCAAGGTGCTGAATGGCCTATTTCCACTTGTAGTTCTTAACTTCTTATGTTCATATTTACTGTTTCTCCTAGGCAACATAAAAGCCAGTCGACGATCATCCTATCTTCTTGCCATAACAACAGAAAGGTCAAAGTCTTGTGATGAAGGACTGAATACATATCGGGATGAAGGAAAAGTGCACTCGTAAGTTTATACCTTTGCAGATAGGTTCTATCATTAAAATGTATGCATAAAATAGAGCTTATTTTTAAGGAAATAATTCTTAATATGATTAGATTGTAAACCCATCTGGTTCACTAATGTCCTTTTGGGAAGGAAGCTGCCATCCTTACCTGGTCTGGCCTCCATGTGACTCCAGACCCACAGCAATGTGGTTGACTCTTAACTACCCTCTGGGCAATTAGGAATGGGCAATAAATGCTGGCCCAGCCAATGATACCCTCATCCCGTAAATGAAATAAAGGGAAAAAAGATTCATCACATCTTGGACCAGTGCTGACAAAGTTCATATTTTGTTGTATAGGGAGTATCTGGATCATTTAGAAAATAAAGTAACAATCATGGCATGAAAATACATTGGACAAATTAATTATTTTCTTTACAAATTTGCTTGATGGTAATGATTATTAATGAAGCCAATTAAAGGGAATTTTTTATGTGGAGGAAACGTGCCCCAGAACAAGAGGAAAATTGGTTATATTCCGGGAAGGCGAATTTAGTAACTGCAACCTCTCATGTTAAAGAAATAAACCTCAACACTGAAGTTTAATTCTCTAAATTTCTTATCCATTTGGTACAGGCTATCTGTCTCATGCTGATATCCTCATTGCTGGGTACAACTGAAGTAGTACAGCACTGCATACACAATGGTCTGCTTTGCTATTCAATAGGATAATGGCCGATCCAACATTCTTTCCATCCATTTTCCTACCTTTTCCCCTTAAATTTGATTTTCCTGCTGATCAAGAATTTATCTATCTCAGCCTTAAATATATGGAAGGACTCTGCCCCCACAGATTTCTATGGCAAGGAGTTCCAAAGACACAACCTTCTGAGAGAAGAAATTCCTCCTCATCTCAGTCTTAAATTGGCACCCCTTTATACTGGGTCTATGCCCTCTGATCCTAGTCTATCCCGTGAGGGGAAACATCCTTTTAGTATTAACCTTGTCAAGCCTCTTCGGTATCCTTTATGTTTCAATGAGATCACCTCTCATTCTTTTAAACTTGAGTGAGTAGAGTCCCAAATTGTTTAGCCTTTGCTCATAAGACAATCCCTCTATGCCAGGAATCATCCTCATGCATCTTCTCTAAAATGCCTCCAAAGAAATTATATCTTTACTTAAATAAGAAAACCTGTGACAAAAAAGTTAATGCACACCTTTCACACTAGATCTCACCACTAAATCCTTTGTGTAAACACATCTTTGTGTTTTATGAGCTCCAAACTATTTTAAAACAGCAATCAAAAAATAAGTAGACTTAATCATAGTTTCAATTCATAATCATATTCCGTGATAACTGGATGCAGATGTGATATTTTATGACCCTAGTCAAGCTCTTGTTCATTTTTATTAGGAAATTGCCGAAAAGGGTTCCTAGTCTGAAGCTGCTGCGGAGCTTTTTCACTGATGGGGTAAGAGTTGACTTTAGAAATGAGAGTAAAGAGAAATGAATGACTCTCTCTATTTACCAATAATATCTAAATTAATAACATTCCATACTAATGAAGCACAGAAGGACCAGTTCACGCTTCTCCAGCAAGTGGCTTGCAAGCCACAATAGCTGCTGAAGGGACATACTTGGCCTGTCAAATCATTGTTTAAAATACAATTAAATGTAACTGAAAGATTTTCCTGGTCCTCTCCCTTATTTGCTTCTGATCTTCTGACATCTGTGACAAATGCATGAGAGAAGTAGTCCATGATTGGAGTAGAGCAGTGAAAATCTCAACACAATAGATTTAATTTAGCTTAAGTCCCAGTGCCAAAAAAGTTTCAGGGCGATGCTGGTTTGAGTGAAGGTATATGATAACAGGGCTGTTGAGAATGGAAGGGAAAGAGAGTCATTTTGGGGAAGGGATAGGGGGGGGGGGGGGAGGGGGGGGAGGAGGAGGAGAATTTGGCAGGCTGTTGGGGTTAGGGAGCACGGGGTAGAGAGTGAATGAGAGAGAAATCAGAATGGATTGGGTAGGTGAGGTGAGTGAGGGATTGACTGTCCGACAGGGAAGTTAGTTGGATGGGTGAGAAAGGGACTGACCAGGGAGCTAGTTGAATGAGGAACTGACTGACTCAGAGCTTGGATATGAGAGTGAGGGATGGATTGACAGGAGGTTGTGTAAGTGGCTGAGAGACTGACTGCTGAGAGTGCTGACTGGCTGGAGGGTTTGAAGAGTGAGTGGCTGACTAGCTGGGTGACTAGCTGGCTAGGTTAGCGATAGACTGACTCACTGTCAGTGGGACATGGTGGGAGGGAAAGTGAGCAACTAACTGACTGATAAGCTGTCTGGTTCAGTAGTGAACCTCGAAGCATGTAGACTGAGTGACCCTTACGAAGGTCCAATTAAGCATCACCCTTGTGAGGTAATGGTGAGGCTTCAACTCAAGGTAGCATTCTTCAATCTAATCCTTGCATTTTGTAACTGATCTTGTACTTTGAATTCCTACTGCAAAAAATTTTAGTTAAGATTAAACAAAATGAACATCAATTCCGAGGGGATGCCAACATACATCTGTTAATCATTACCCCCTAGTCCGTAGGTAATCGGTGATATCTCTTTAATGGACCAATGTCACCATTATGCCAACAATTCTCTCCATCTACATGATTCAAACATAGAGAAGGAAATCAGCCATCCTTAACTGGTTAAGTCTACACTTGATCCCAAACCCAGAAGCTTATGGGTTGAAATTGAATCAGAGATAGTAGGAACTGCAGATGCTGGAGAATCCGAGACAACAAGGTACAGGGCTGGATGAACACAGCAGGCCAAGCAGCATCATAGGAGCAGAGAGGCTGACGTTTCGGGCCTAGACCCTTCATCAGAAAAGGGGGAGGGGAAGGGGGTTCTGAAATAAATAGGGAGAGAGTGGGAGGCGGATAGAAGAGGGATAGAGGAGAGGATAGGTGGAGAGGAAACAAACAGGTCGAAGAGGCGGGGATGGAGCCAGTAAAGGTGAGTGTAGGTAGGGAGTTAGAAAGGGGATAGGTCAGTCCAGGGAGGACGGACAGGTCAAGGGGGCGGGATGAGGTTGGTCGGTAGGAAATGGAGGTGCGGCTTGAGGTGGGAGGAGGGGATAGGTGGGAGGAAGAACAGGTTAGGGAGGCAGGGACGAGCTGGACTGGTTTTGGGATGCAGTAGGAGGAGGGGAGATTTTGAAACTTGTGAAATCCACATTGATACCATTGGGCTGCAGGGTTCCCAAGCGGAATATGAGTTGCTGTTCCTGCAACCTTCGGGTGGCATCGTTGTGGCACTGTAGGAGGCCCAGGATGGACATGTCGTCTGAGGAATGGGAGGGGGAATTGAAATGGTTCGCGACTGGGAGGTGCAGTTGTTTATTGCGACCCGAGCTTATGGGTTGACTCTAACTGCCGTTTGAAATCATGAAGCAAGTCACTCGGTTAAAGGGTAAAAAGGGAAGGACAACCAGTTCTGATCTTGCCAGTGATGCCTAAATCCCATTAAAAAAAATCAAAGGGCTTGTGGGTCATTTTCTTTATTTCTGGTGTTAACCAATGACTTCTATCAAGAAAAACATATTTTGGAACTGTACAACTCATCTCTAAGCATCTGAAAGACATTGATGGGCAAACTTTTCTAGATTTACTGAATCTAATTGACCATGAACAAAATTTTGGCCTCTGTCCTATTTTGGATGCTGACTAGTTATAATACTAACATTTGCTTATTCTATTTCACATTATGAGCATTCAAGTAGTATGTATTTAAAATATCCCGATTAAAATTCTTGGAGATTGCTGAAAGCACAATCAGATTTTACCCAGATTTCTGGCTAGGAAAGTTGTTAAGTTTGTGGAAATGATTAGTCCATTTTTAGTTTGCAATGAAGTGTTCAATGCTTAAAATAACCATTGTCTTATTTAGAGAAAGTAAAGTTTTAATTTCAGCATTAATGAGTAAGAAAAAAACACAGTATGTCATAATGCAAAGAAGACTTAAATTTCTAATTTGTATGCATTGCGTGTCATTTTCCAGAGAGTTGTATAGTGCCATTTTAGCAGGATTACCATTATCTTTCAAGCAATAATTTGGGTATCTGAATGAAAGAACAATTCCAATCAAAGAGATTTTAAGCTGTGAATCCTCGAGTCTTATAATTTAAAACAGGTGCAGCAGGTCAGACTGCAGTAGCAGAATGAGGAAGATAATGGGCTAATTTTCTCATTTTTTTAGCTATGTGTTATTTTCCAGGACTTTATGGATGGCTTCCTACCAAGGCCTGTGGCAACTTTTCTTTCTCTCAATCTTCTATTGCTCACTTCATTGATCATAATTTTGGGCTCTATGGAGCCCTCCTTCTGTAATCATGTGAAAGCAGATGCAGAAATGCTTGTTGCTGCCAGAAACGTTGCACTGTTGATGACATTGCAGGCACCACATTTAAACTTCAGCTTTGTACCACTTAAAATGCTGTAATTCAGGAACTGCTGTAGGAATATATTGCTGCTCTGTCATGTTTGTCAATGAGAAGTCACAGAAAAGGAAGTTAGCACTGTGCTTTAGAAAAAAGATCCTGAAGGTACTGGTGAATGAGATGGTGAAGAGGAGGTTTATCAGTTTTTCTGTGGACCATCAGAAGAGGCCATGGAATCAGACGCAGCCAACCTGGACCAAGATAGCAATCAGTTTTCACACCAAAAGAAATCCCCAACATTGCTGGAAAATGGTTAATGAACTGTGCTCTGCAGATGTAAATGCCATCATCTTCTGTTGCTTCCTCACACTCATTCCAACTCTGCCACTGCATTGAAACATCACCTAGACTACAGCTCTCACAGTTTCATGCTGCATCTCAAGTCAACAACTCTCACCCACCTCATTGTCCTCAATTAATAAATCTTCTTGCTCTCTGCACAACCCCCTACTCTCAGGACACTGACTAGTTCTGTTGTTCCTGCAGCACCACTAACAATTCTTTCTTCTGTTTTCCTTCGTTCCTCAGAAGATGCATTGGCAAGGCTTTCTCCTGCCCCCTCCACAGCTGAGAGACTTTCACCTTGGTGGGTTCTCTATTTAGACTAGATTCAGGAACACATTCTGGTGAGCACAGCCCTGGCATGTCTCCACAGATAGTTGAGGAAGAAATGTCCAAAGTTGCCGGCATTCAAAGGACTGCTGAAGGCCAGGCATCTGCTCAGCCTCAGGCAGAAGATGATGTCATGGTGTCAACTATTGATGACTTAGTCTGTGCATCTGTACTAGCATTGGAACAGCTGGCAGATTTGCTAGAGACATTTGATGAACAGAATCAAAGGTTGGAGGTATTCACCAACATTGTTAGTACCCATGGCTACAGCAAACATGCATATGGCTGTCTCCATGGACAGGTTAGTGGCTCCCAGGGAAAGCCAGGGACTGCAGAATGCACGGTGGCTACCAGAAATACAAACCTATACTACATCGCTTTGGCAATTATGATCAGCATCGATGGAGAAATAAGAGAATGAGGAGGGTGAGCCTGCATAGATGTTAAAAAGATAAAGAATAAAATTAAAAGGCTGTATCATATGTTTATGATGGTATTGGTAAGGGTGACCACCACACCATCCTCGTGGTGACGAAGTTGTATCTTCACATTGAGAATACACTCCATCATGTTGTCTGGTACTATCACTGTGCTAAATGGGACAGACTTCAAAAAAATCTAGTAACTCAAGACTGGGCATCCATGAAGCACTGTGGGCCATCAACAGCAGAATTGTATTCCAGCACAATCAGCAACCACATGGCCCAGTATATCCCCCACTCTATCATTACCAAGCAGCCAGAGGATCAACCCTGGTTCAATGGAGAGTGCAGAAGGACATGCTAGGAACAGCACCAAGAAAACCTAAAAATGAAGTGTCAACCTGGTGAAGCTATCAATCAGGACTATTTCTATGTGAAACAGCTTAAGCAGCAAGTGATAGACAGACCAAAGCAATCTTACAATGAGTGGATTAGATCTGAAGTATGCAGTCCTCCCACATCTGGTTGTGAATGACGATGAACAATTAAACAACTCACTGGAGGAAGAGGAGGCGGCTCCATAAATATTCCCATCCTTAGTGACAGAAGAGTCCAACATGGCAGTGCAAAAGATAAGGCTGAAGCATAGGCAGCAATCTTCAGCCAGAAGTATCAAGTGGATGATCTACTGCGGCCTCTTCCAGTGGTCCCAAGCATCACACATACCAGTCTTCAGCAATTTTGAGTCATTCCATGTGATATCAATAAACCATTGGAGGCTCTGGATAATGCAAAGAATACATGTCCTGACAATATTTTGGCAGTAGTACTGATGGCCCTATTGTTTTCCCCATCACCACCAGCTGTTTTAGTTTTGCCAGGACAGGATCTTTTTGTGTCCACATTCAGATATTGTTCCAGGTGAAGCACCACCCGTGGAGTTT